GTTTTTTTGGGCGGGAGTGTTATCGCTTCGATTTCATCTGTTTTGTTTTTTCGGTCGACAAAAAAAAAATAGCCTCCTCACATTCAGAGAATGTAAAATGGAAAGAAAATTCTGAGAAGAAACTGCATCGATAGAATTATACTGGTGAACTTGGGAATAATTATTATTGTCGACTTCAACACATATAATTCAACTTAAATTTCACAAGCCCATGTTTTCGCTATATACCTTCTGGAGATGAGGCCAAAATGGTAGCTAACCACGCGAAATTAAGAAGAACAAGAACCTTCATTGTGATGAGATTTGACAATGATAAAAATGGAAATGGAAGGGATGCAGTCCGAATTAAATAGCTGATATTTTAAGCATCTGGTAATTATAAAAACAACCATTAAATATGTTTGTCGTGCCATCGAAGTTTTTTCATTTTTTTAATAAACTCAGTGCCTACGAGCAGTTCAAAAGAGTGTGCTAATTGGAACTGTCATTCCCTCCATTTTCATCTTTTCATCTTTATCGTTTTATTTTTTAAATCTTTGAATTTGATTGCCCAGCTTTATCTGTTGAAACACGCCCTAGAGAGAAAACAAAGCTTATTCAGCTCAGCTGCTAGATTCTGAAGAGTCCATAACGCTACAAAATAAAACATACTTTGTAAAAATTATTTCACTTTTGTTTCACACCATTTTCTTCGAACAAAAGATATTAGTATACCTGAACATCTTTGCAAATAATCTACCCCGCTTACATCTATGTGCTAGAGCTAAATTACTCTTTTTAGGAGATAAATTGACTTATCTATTTTCTTGCAGCTGAGTACTTGAATAGTGTTAATCAAAACGTATTCAAGATAAAAAGAAGCATTCTTAACATTCGATTCAACTCTCTACAACATATTGTATTCTCCGACAATGTTTTTCTTTACGTAATTTTATTGAGCTGTAAAGATCACGTCCAACTTGCCATAAGTTGCACTATATTTTTAAGGACAACTCCGAGGACAGTTTCGAAAAAGAATCTCACAATGGCCCGAGTAACTGACCAATCTATAGATCAAATAACACAGATATCAAACTATAAAATCTGTTGTTGGCAACAACAGAAACAATTTGAACGTTTTCTAGTCAAGTCTACTATTTTGCTTGGTAAAAAGAAGAATTAAAATCGTTAACATGATCAACAAAACAGTGATTTATTCTCTACCAACACCATTCAAATCGTTGAAGGAAAGATAGTAGTCAAATCTTCTTCCGTGATCTTTGCGTGAGGTAGGGGCGTTACCGCCCCACCTTGAGGTACCTCTACAGGAACTGCTGTTAACGGAAAACTGCTCTGGCGTTGCTACGGTGCAAAAAATCACAAAAAGCTTAGCAAGTTTTTCGAATTAATAGGCGGCGTCGCCATTCCGTTGCTTTCGCAGAACTGGAGTAAAGACTTCGTTGACGCTGAAAACGCTTCACGAAGGAAGTCAATTCAAGACGATGCTACTTTACCAAATGTATTGACTACTGAAGTGTGCCTTCATCTTCGTTAGGTGGTGAGAAAAGGTTAAGAACGAAATATGTTGTATAAGTTGGTAAATTAACCGTGCTTGTATGATTTGAAAGATTACTTGAGAATGTTGCCAGCTACGCATTGCCCAATCCTTACAATTGAAAAGTAAAACATGTCGTCAACGATAAAGTTTAGATAAATATGTAAAACAAAACACATTTATCTTTACTACATGGTCTATTTTGTCGTCCAATCGATCTTGAAATTCAAATGGTCTAAATTCGAAATAAAAACCGGAACTGCTAATGATCTCGTTACTTGTTCCTGCTTCGGTTTGGCGGAAGGTACATAAATTCAAATAAAGCACTGTTATTCTGAAGGAAATCCGTAAAAGACTGGTAACACACAAATTAAGAAAGTTTCCCGTCGAAACTCGCAATATTACATACAATAAATATTTATTTTCCAGCAGGGAACTCGAATATAAAAACAGTCTAAAGTCACCACAGTTTTCAGTGTAGGGACCTGTCTTAAGCAGACAAGTAATTAATTTATTTTAATTTCCTCTCTCAAATGACTTTGTTCAAAGTCGGAAATTGGTTTCTGAAGACATTTTGTGGACGAAAACGTCATTGCAAGAGTTAATTTTTATAGACCGTTTAAAAACCCTTCGTAATTTCTTAATCTTTCACAAAAAGCAATAAAGAGAGTTTTGAGAGATGTGAACATACATTACAATTAACTAATATAGCATTCATTCATTTCCAAAACCAAATTTTGAAAAAAATCATTTGTTCGCTGCTTGAACTTGAACGGAGGTCTGAGCTACAACGCAAGTGCACATGCAGAAGGTCTTTGCAAATGCTGACGCCAGTGCCAATGCCGATGGAAAACGATGAGCACATGTCGAAAATATACCCAAGTGATAAATAGATATAATATATAAACTTTATTGCCTTGCACAGCTACTGATAGACCCAGTAGTTTACATTGTGGGAGGAAGGTAACATACCCAGGCGCAGCATCGGAAGCGGATAAGGGTTTCCACATCAAGCATAACGGCTTCTTAGATTTTCAAGTGATCTCATGGCTACCTCTCCTGTTCAGGGCAATCGTTCTTTGATTAATTTAAGCTGGGTTTTCGAGAACCAATTGACACAAATTTTGAATTACCACGGCATACTAAAAACCACCCGTTGCCAATATAGACTTAGTGATGATCGTGGCAGAACAGTTTGGCGTCAAAAATCAGGTACTGGAGACGCATACGTGAAACTATTCACCCAATGTAAAAACCCAATTGTTCTTTTCGTAGGATTTTCCGCCTCTCAAGCCGAAAAAAAAGCCCTCGCCGACCCATTTAATGGGTCATAATTGCTTTTTAATTATTATCCGCTGTTTGTTTCGAGTAAAGGAAAACCTGGCCATCTTTTCAAATACACCTGCAGGTCAGAAAAGCATGAATAAAGTAACCAATCAGGCATTAATATGAGCTTTTTTTATAATTTTGTTCAGCTGTTGGATTGAGCGAGGTAAGATTGGATAACATTGGATGCGTACTACAAGTGGCAAATATAAACTTAACATTCGTTTCGAATGGAATCAAGCGAAATTGTATTTCGTGATTGTGTCTCTCTAATGTTTACAAAGCTTTGAACACATGATAAATAACATTTTAAAAATGCTTTACAATTTTTTTTAAACGGTTACCAATTCAATGGGGTCTAAGATCTGAAGACCTTACATGATTGGAAAAGTTAGACACAAGGTTACCTCAACAACATATAGATGTCTCAACAAACAAAAATCGAAAATTTTAATGCCAAATACAGTTTACATCGAAATGAAGTATTACTGCTAATAAAAGTTTTTTTGTCTAGAAGACATTTGATTTCCCTCAATCTTTGCCTTATTACAGAAATCATGCTCACAACAAATGATTTTACTAAAGCAGTGTGGGTCAGCAGCCGCATTTTTCGAACACCAGTTTGGATGCTGGTAATTTATACAATCAGAGTCTTTAAAGCATCCTTTCATGTATATTTGATGAACCGACGATTCCAATGAAAGTAATCCGCAACGATTTTGTCCATTCTGGCATCTTTGTTCACCCTCTCTTGAACCGCATTCCTCCCATGAGTTGAAACTACGGCAATCAAAACACGACAGACGATCTTGGTTTTCTCCTGGTCAAGCAGATAAGCCAACAAATGATAGATAGATGAGAAATGAAAATAAGATATGGAAATGATGGTTTGAGTGAATGAATAAAGAATTGGGAACAAAGAAATAATGAGCAAAAATGGATTTAGATAAAGATGTTTTACGTATTGTCACGAGCTTGGGACAAGAAGAAAAACATTTTTCCCTATTTCTTTACCGAGCTCAAAACTTACCCTCTCTCTTATTCTATTTACAAAAATTGATTTGAATTTTGCTTTTAGAGATCCCATGAAAATATCACATGGCGGATATCCAACAAACTCATCAAATCAGATCATTGTAAAATGACTGGTTCACTCAAAACACCCAGCTTTGAAAGTTTCTGAATTTATTTCGTTTCCCTTCCAATTTTTTTTCAGGTATTAACCTCCCTCTAAAATCGAGACGAGACTTACAAGACTAGGTGTTTTGAATTTAAATTCTCAGCCCGATCATCGTTTTGGATGGGAAGATCATTACATTTTGCAGAACTATATGCAATACATGTACATTAGAACTACTTTTGTTTCCATCGCAGTTGAACTGTTGGCTTATTTCAAACCCAAAAATTAATTTAACGGTCAATGATCGGCTTCCCAAAGTCCTCACGTACCCTAATAACGTAATCATTAATACAAAAGACTTACCAGCATCTGTAAGCCAAATACTTGCTAAGAGAAGCGTTACCATAAATTTCTTCATTATCGCACGTTCAACAGCCTTGCTCAGCAACCTTTTCGTTCTCTGGCTTTATTAAGTCACTTTGCTTTGCTTTGCTAACTGTTTAGGATGATTAGAAAAAAAAGCAAATAGACTTTTTATTGTTCCCACTTGTGTTTGTGAATTTTGATTAACAAACTCATATCAGTAATCACTTGTTAGAGATACGGAGTAAAATAATATTTATTCGTGGCTTATTGCCTCTGTAATATCATTTTAATGGTCTTTCATGGCTTTTGTTTACCTCCCTACGTGCCAACTGAGAGAGGTGTTTTGAGAACATCGAGAACCGACGACTACAATTGACATTTTCGAAAATTACATTACAGGTATGAGTGCGCTTGTCGAGGAAAAATTTTGGCAAAGAAGTTGACTTTTCGACAAAACGATCTTTTCAAGGAGGGCTTATCAACTTGCGTAAATACAATCTACCTTTACTCCTCTACGCTGATCTTTCCGAGTTAACCTGGACATGTTACGCTGAATAACGCTGAATACATTAAAAAGGTGAAGAATTATGGACCTGTAGCGTCTTTTTATTTCCCGGAAGATTTTCCCACAGGTATTTTTTAGTCTCTTTATGTAAACACCCTCTTTTCTCTCCGTAATAAACAGATCCAATATGTAAATCGTTCCTCCAGTTCGGAACTCGTAAACGATATCGACTTTCATGATTCTTTATTCCCTGCACTATTTGTGAAAACCTCCCGGTTTTCTCTTGAAGTTTTAAATCAAATATTCTACTTTTTGTCATGAGTGAATTATGTAGAGGAAACAAAACTAAAAGCAAACCTTTTAGGGCCGAAAACATTCTCCTATGTTGCCATCGGTTGTCTGCCACGTCAATTTACACTACTTTTCATTTGTTAATTTTATTTACATCTGAAATTCTAATCAGTCAAATAGGTTGATAATCATAACAACGAATCTCATTGTTTCATTCAATCAAAAGCGCTCATGAAGCAAGGTTTCACATTTTCCCGTAGTTTTTTAAGGTCTTAGCCGAACGGTAATTGAATGTAAGCTACATTACTAAACAAAAATCGAACTTTAAAGTAACTTATTGTCGATGTAAGGGCTATGAAGTTTTTTAAATATGATTAAAACTTTTGGAAATGGCGTTTGACTTCTTCGCCTTCTTAATCAAGAGATCATTTGGATATCATCTCGAAGAGTGTTGGGAAATTTCTATCTTCCTTGCTCAGATGTCTTTTACACAATACTTTAGTTATCTTTATTTCTAACTAAGACTGACAAATTTTAAAATTTCACAATAAACCTTCACGTGCAAACCTATTGGGCCAGTGAAATTTAAATCAATTCATCATAGAGATACAAATGAAATACCCTCGTTTCGCATGTTCCCAAAAAATAATTTATTTTGAACGTACCGTTTATATCTTTCACGTCTGAATATATAACGATATGGTCAGGATAAATTGGTTTATAAACAGGGCCGTTTTTGATTACTTTCTCTGAGTCTGAATTAACCTTACCTTTCTTTTTTTTTTAAATGAAAAAATAATTTCGTTTGTAACAAAGAAATCTTGTTTTATTCTTTTTTTTTTACGTTTGAAATAATTTCTTCAGGTCTACGTATAGGTGATTACTAAGTGAGGTAATTACTCAAATGAGTCTAAAATCTTTTTCATTGTCAGTAGCATTATTTTGTCTAAATTTTTCGTTGATATCGCTTTTGAAATAGACTTTGAACTGGAGGATGCGACTCATCGTTCTGATAAATGTCTTTTACTTTTTCAAGTCACTCACTCGTAAGAACGTCAACAATCAAGGATCATACAGGGTTTGTACGAGAAAACGTCAAATGACAACTGACATAACTTTTTAGTAATTAATCTTGTTCCATTTGCTCCCCAATACAACCGTACCAAAGTATTCGTTGCGTTGCACCTTTCTCTAATGATATCGTCTTTGTCATTTCCTAAAGATTTGTCAACTCTATAAGAACTTTTTTATTATCGTACCACTGAATCATGTTAATCATACCAAGCGACACGAACGTAAATCTTTTTTATTAAAGCTTTAGAATATCCACGGATTTTAGCACTTTTAACATTTTTATTTCCCATGTCGTGAAAATTTCCCTTTTTTTGAAGTACTATACGTCTTAATGTAAACACCTTATGTTTTTTTTGTAAAATACAATATGCAAATTACTCATTACATGTGGTCAGGCAAATAAGTACTTTCTCTTATTTACTCTTTTAGGAAGCTTGTCGATTTTCTTTTGTTATTTTTCCCAGATGAGTTAATTTGCTGTCATTGCGGGAGATAAATGTAGTGAGTATTAAAGTAAACTACGCCATAAACGTGAGGACGGCAAGACCTTTCATGTTATCTCTAGTTGCATTTACATGCCGCATCAATTTACATGTTTTTCTAACAGTGATATCATTCAAATCCAAAATTGTAATTGAAAAAGTGGAAATCATTTTTGTCCAACCTTGCTATACGAGCGAGAAACAACAAATCTTGTGTCATTCATTTCTGATCTAAGGTAAGAAATATTATTTTTGTACAATTTGCTTGAAACAGCCGGCAATTGATAAAGATGAGAATAATTTCGCCGTGAGACCTGAAATGGTAAACCAAAACATTTCAGAGGTGAACAATGAATATAGTGATTGGGAACTGAAGTTCAAAATCACGTCTTGTATCGTTGTGGGGAACACAGTGTGTTTTAAGAAAGGAAAATGTTAGAGTCAAGGTCTTACGATATACGTGATATGTGGGATAGCTTTGGCAAGACACCAATAACCAACTGCAGCCAGCCCTGTAAGTTCCAGACTGGAGTTTCCCGTGGAAAAGAAATATAAGTAACGTTATACCATTAAATTCATAGAGTATGATTTTAAAAATGTAATTTTCTCGGTGTAATTTCGAGTTTATTTAAAACCGACAGCCTGCTTATAGATGTCTAACTTTTCACCAGAGTAACAAGAATTGTAAAGAATTTGCAATGCAAATTACGAGAATTTGAGCGTCATTGTGATCAAAGTGGTAAGATAGCCTTTAATGTACATGGTTATCTAAACCAGAACGGTATGCATATGCGTTGAAAACGATTTTTTTAAAGTATTTCTCGACGCGAAAGAATACGTCATTCGTGGGACAAAAATTAATCAGTAACCAATTTCAAAGTAAATATTTAAAAGAAGAAGTTAAAGAGGCCACAAAAAGCAAACATGTCACCAACGAAACAAACAGGGGAAATAAACAACGAAAAAACAAAAATACCTCATTGTTTTATGTCAAGTAGACCCTAAGTCCTAACCTCGCATGTGAAACGGTGATGGTATCAAGAAACAGTAAGTAAATTTCTGACACGCTGGCATATCTTTTATTGCTTATCAGTAGATTTTACCTGCTTGCGATCGTCACTTTTTATCATCATTTTAAAGGAAGGGTCCTAGACGGCTTAAAAGAGATCTTATGATGAGTTGTATTTCACGTAATGATCCATTGAAGATCTCTGTTTCGGTTGAATTTGCTAAAGTGTCTAGTTTTCCTTGTGCATGTTCGAACAAAACGAAACGAAAAATTCGATGTAAATAAAAAATGGCCTATCTTTAAGAAATTTTTAAGCCGCTCATCGCTTTAACGCTTTCTTCTTGCCACAATTTCTCGACCCATCGAAATATAATAGAAGACGTGATAGTTGAAAACCTACTATGTCAAAGAACCAGATGATTCGATTTTGAGAGCTTTACAGTGAAGTAATTTTAAGGGAATATTCTGTTCGGTGATAATTGAACACTTTTAATGGATTTCGTTACAGGGAAATGTTTTAGGTGTGCGTATCATTATCCAAAAGAGAGTAGAAAAAACCTACTAAGAACACTCAGGCTTAATAAATCATTCTTTATTTGTTTTATGTGGCCACGTGGAAATCATGCGCGACTTTTTCTCAGTGGCCACGGTAACGAATCCTGCAATCTGGTTGGCTCTTAGTGTGATCCGGATTTTCCTATCTCTGCCCACGGGCACGGTAAAGCTTTCGTAGTTCACCGAGAACATCCCTAGCTTCGTTGCCATTTCAACAAATTATTTTTACGCAAATCAAGCCGATTAATGACTTATTAATCTCTTTTCTCACTCTCGAATCACTTTGGTTGACAGCAGAAAATTGTTTTCGAGATGAGTTTGTGGTAGTAAAGGTGTCATTATTAAATGGGTTAACGCGCGGCCTAAAAACGGAAAGTTAAATCTGTGAGATATTTGTTTACAGTTGAATTAACCGATGGAACTTTCATTATCTCAAACAATTTTTTCGTTGTAGCGAAGTTTTCAGTCCTACGACAAATACGTTTTCGGTAAGTCTTTGCAAGTCTGTCCAGTTTGGTCACTTGTACCGTTAATTGCACAACAAAAACCGAATGAATTCAACGAGAAAAAGCCGCTTTAAATTCCCCTTGGGTCTAGTTAAGGTGTCTCAAAACATACATTTGAATTTACAAACAATTACTTCCTTGCAATTTACAGAAGTACTCTTCGTACACTAATCATCGATGGAACTGAATATTACTTTCCGTAAGATCGTTAAAAAGGTTTTGAAAAAAAAGGCGCTTTTTTTTTCTTACGCCCTCTTTAATTGACAGTTTTTGTCAGATTGTGACAGATGCTTGTAAAAAATGTTTCAAAATTTTTTTGGAAGTATTTTAAATCACCTTTATCGCCTGACACAAACAAAATTATTTTGGTGAAGTCTCTCTCTTCAATTTGAATTACCTCTGTTTTAACTGCCATTTACTAGCTCAAAAATTGTACAGGTCAAGGAGGATCGTACCGTAATTACAGTCCTACATTATTCGGGTTCTTTTGACAAGAATTCGTGAAGTTTTAGAAAAAAATAAAAATGTTTTTCATCAGCCTAGGTAGGTTCGCATTGGGAAAAACTGTTTCCTCTGTCTTTAGTACTCAAGACCTCGGCCACAGGTTTTCCCAACACGGACCATGACATATTACTAGTGCAATTTGGTGTAAATAAGCTCGAGCAATTTTTCGACGAAGACAAAATTTTCAGAGCCCGTAGGGCAAGTGTATTTTGCAGTAATACACAGAATCACACAAAATCGCAGAAAGTCAAGACAAACGAAATTTTGAAAGCGTGCGCGGTACTTATAATTTGCACTCGTGTTCCATGAGAATGTACTCGTTTTCAACCAATCAGAAGCGCGTCATTTTTTCAGGTACATTACGAAAAGTGAATACATAAGGCCGTGGAATAGCTGTAAACAAAGGAACAAAGTTCCCACAGTATTTCAGCTCCTCGTTTTATCTTTACTTATTCATTTTTCTGTCATTATTGTCCTGAATAATTTAATCGCAAGAAGAAATCAACAAATACGCGTGCGTAAGCTTGTATCTTTGCTGATATAATTTTACCATGTCCAAGCAGGAATTGATAAATTAATTTAATTTATCTTAAAGTTTTGATCCAGAAAATACGTTAAACTCCATAAAGCTAAGGCATTACATCAATAAGGGCAATAGGCCACTTCAGAACATCTTTCGACCTCGTTTTTGTTTTACAATCTTAACAGGGAGAATTTACTAATGTAATTTTAACTCTTAGTCATGAGAGGACAAAGCACCAAACTAATTAACCTAGAAGTATTACGTTTCTTATCAAATTCCTTTTTTTCTTAGAGTGCCATTAAAATGGTGTTTGCGTGGTTCAAGACCATGATTTCGCTCTCGCCCGACCATAAGCTCACGAAGACAGCTTTATTCACCCAATGGGCATCTTTAGTAGCATATGGAGGCGGAGGACTATCTCTATTGTGTTTTCCTAAAGTTTGGAGCGCGATTCTTGCTTTTGAAATTAGCCAGACAGAT